TGGTTTAAGTCTATCAAGTAACAAGTATTATAGGCATGAGCCACTGGCATATGGATTTTGATTATTCTTAACAGAAGATTCTATAAATATAATATTTATTATGTACCTATTCCATGTTAAACATGGTCCAGAAGATAAAAAAAGTGAGCCAGTCAGACAGATCATTGCCTCATGAACCTTTGGATAGGAAAAAGAACTAATTTTAAATAGGGCCAGGGAAGGCTGTTAAGGATGTGACAAGTTGCAAACATTGCCTCTTTAAAACTCTCTCAGCTGTGCTGTCGCTTTCCTTGTTCCCTTACTCTTATGTGACACCTGTCCAGTGATCTGGTGGAGACCTACCCTCCTGAGGTTCTTCTTCTCTAGTCTGTACAACATAAATAGATGGCTATTATTCTGTCTTTTTTCTCCAGGTAAATACATGATCTGAGCGAACCCATCAATTCCTACTGCATCTTAATCCTGTATCTGTATCCCCAACTATATATTACTAGTCTGAGAGCCAAATTCAATTCTCTAACCACTTCAAGACAAAACTACTGAAATATCCCATAATACTTCAGATTCAAAAATGTCCACAACAGAATCCAGCCCTTTTCTTTCTGCAAACCTACTTCTACATTCATGATCTGAGTGAATAGCATTTCCTGGAACTCTTCTCTCTTGTACCAGTTGCCAAACCCTAAAGCACCTTTTACTCAAGGTTTATAAGATCTCTTTACTGAACCCTTTTCTCTTCTCTTACTTCCTAAGACTAACATTATTTTCTTCATGGATAAATAGAATAACTATGTAATAGATATTCCTTATTTGCTGGTTTGAAGAGTGTTGTCAGAAAACATTTCTAAAAATCCAAATCCGCTCATTATTACTTCCTTGTTCAAATCTTTCAGTGGATCCCTGGAAAGCCTTGAGGATAAAGTACTCCTACCCTCCAGCTTAGCTTAAAAGGGCTTCATGACCTGGTTGCTGCCACTTGTCTTCGTTTCCCCAAAAAGCACCATCTTTGTGTCCTTCCCCTCCTCCTTTTTTTTTGGGTCTGGTTGTGTGCCTGAACTCTGAAGAGCTGTCCCTCAGCTTTTCAGCTCAAGGCTAGCGCTCTACCACTTGAGCCACAGCGCCACTTCCAGTTTTTTTTTCTGCTTATGTGGTGCTGAGGAATCGAACCCAGGGCCTCATGCATGCAAGGCAAGCGCTCTACCACTGAGCCACCTTCCCAGCACCCCCTCCTCTTTTTTTGTGTGTGTGGAAGTCTTAAGGCTTGCACAAAACTCATAGCCTGGGCATTGTCCCTGAGCTCAAGGCTAGTGCTCTAACACTTTGAGCCAGAGTCATTTCCAGTTTTTTTTTTTTAATTTGTTTTGGTAGTTTTACAGACTTTCCTGCCCTGGCTGCCTTTGAACCTTGATCCTCAGATCTAAGCCTCCCGAGTAGTTAGGATTATAGGTATGAGCCACCATCACCTGGCTGAATTTATCTTTTATTCTAGAATGCATTTTTAATATTTTTTTCAGAGAACTCTCTTCTCTCTCTAATGCTAAGAAATAATTGAAGTAGTTTATATTTCATTAGGTCAAGCTTTATATGAAAAACATTCTAGCTAATGGTGAAGTGGATTATTACAAAACAAACAAGGGAGAGTGTGGGTATGGAGGAGAAATGTATTCAGTAAGGAAAATAATGAGAAATGAGAGAGACTTGACAAATAATCCTGGGCTGTTAACTGAATTCAGAGGATAATAACTTGATGTAATATATGAACCTGTAAAATGACATTTGCTCAGAATTTCAACAGGCTATATATAATGCATTATTTATTCACAAACTACTGCAAAGCTGGCTGTGGTGCCCACATTATCTAGACACCTGAGATTCCTCTAAGGCTTTCCAACAGACTAGAGGTTAAAGTTTTTTAAAAACCTTTTTTGAAGATTATAGTCTAAGGACTATAATTCTGAACATCATCTGCAGCAAAAATGGGATAAAAATAAAAAGACTTACTCAGATACCTCAGATATTAAGGTTCCTCATTTTTTTTAAATTTTAATTTTTTGGAGCTAAAGTCTTACTTTGTAGCCTAGGCAGCTCTTGAACTCATGGTCTTTCTGCCTCAACCTCCTAAGTGCTGGGATTACAGGTGTGTTCCATCACAAATTTGCACCTTTTAATGATCTCTTCAGAGCTAGTCTTGAGGGCACACAGGGTTTGTTTATTAACATAAGAACATCTAGAAGACATATCAATTCCAGGCTTGTCTGGGACAGTTAATAAGAAAGGTCATTTTCTCTATCACTCTCTCCTGGCTTCAGTCCCAGAGTTACTCAGTGCTCCCTTGCCTCTTCTCATCTTTTCTATACAAGAACAAAGAACAAATTAACCACCTTGTTCTTTAGAATGAATTCCACAGTTTGGGCTGAGTCACACAGTACCAATGCTGGGGAAATGTTCCTGAGCAATCTCCTACCCTCTTACTTCCAAGACTGATTTCTAGCTTGTAAATCAAGGCACCAGGCACTTACCTATAACACTGTTTGAGAATTCTCCTGCATTCACCTTATCTGTGTAAGCTCAGGGAAGAAAAAGGTCTTATTCTGAGTCACACAGTACCAATGCTGGGGAAATGTTCCTGAGCAATCTCCCACCCTCTTACTTCCAAGACTGATTTCTAGCTTGTAAATCAAGGCACCAGGCACTTACCTATAACACTGTTTGAGAATTCTCCTGCATTCACCTTATCTGTGTAAGCTCAGGGAAGAAAAAGGTCTTACTCATTTTTGTATCCTCAATACTTAACACAGTTCCTGGAAAGCTTGGGTAAATTAGGTGTCAGATTGCCAGGAGTCAAATTTCAGCCCTTCCGTATGAGTAGGCTTGTGGGCAAGCAGTTTAACCTCATTGTGCCTCAGTTTCCTTATTCACTAACTGTGAATAATAAAGAATAGCAACTTCCCACAGCACTGGGACATCAATGAGAATGTACACAAAGCACTTAGAAGAGTGGCTGATTTATGAAAATCTCTTCAGAAAGTAGGCTAGTATTTTCACTCTTCAGTGTACACTCAGAATCTTGTAAAATGCTTGAGACTGCTAGATTTACACCTGTGCATGTGGAATCACCTTCCTTTAATTTACTTTCCCCACGCTGCACTGCAACTCTATTGTAAGCTAAATATTCTCTGGTCTGGGTTGAAAATTTTAAACATCTCCTTATTCTGAATTCTAAGTAAATGGTCTGTGAACTTTTAAAATATCAGCACAGAGCTCATTCATAAACTGAGAAGCACCTTGTGTTCTACTGAAATAGGACTGCTAAGACTATTTGAATGATAGATTCAGGAAAAGTGTTCCCTGGAGAAAGATCAAATCTTCATGATTTATTTATAAGCTCCCCTTTTTGTCTTGTGGCTAGTTTAAAAAGAGCTAAGAATGCAACCTTAAAGATATTGAACGACAGGAAACCCCTGAAAATTACCAAGGATCAAAGATATTACTAACCTAGGATTGACTTTGGAAATGCAAAGTTATCTGCAAATTAAGGAAAACCTTCAGTCTCTAACAGTTTTGTGTACTTTAATGATTAATCTAAAAGGTTAGATTTAGAAGTGTGTGCATGTGAGTGTGTGTGTGTGCGCACGCACGCGCACACCAGTCATAAGGCTTGAACTCAGGGTCTGGGTGCTGACATTGAGTTTCTTTTGCTAAAGGCCAGTGCTCTACCACTTGAGCCACAGCTCTACTTCTGGCTTTTTTGGTAGTTTACTGGAGATAAGAGTCTCATGGCAGGGTGGGGGAGTGTAGTTGTGGAGGTGGGAGGGAAGGGATGATAGGGAAAAACAAAGGAGGAGGCAAAAATGCTTGATAAGAAATGTACTTATTACCTTGCTCACATAACTGTAACCCCTCTGTACAGTATTTTCACAATAAAAAGCTTATTTAAAAAAAGAGTCTTATGGACCTTCCTGCCCAGGCTGGCTTTGAATCACAGTCCTCAGGTCTCAGCCTTCTGAGTAGCTAGGATTACAGCGTGAGCCACAAGTACCCAGCCAAGAATTTTATTTTTGCAACCAAATTTGAAAGTTGTAATTTACTAGCAAGAAATTGTGTTATTATTGTTATTATAATAGTTTTTTAAATATACTTAGATTGTTAAAGTTATAGGATGAGAAAGTAACCTTTAATAAACTTTTCTATTGGTTCCTCCAAAGTTCAAGTTAAAAACATCCAAAAATGGTACAAGAAACTGTCAATTTATTACTATCCATATTCTGCTTTATAGATGCAAAAACAAGAATAAAACCAAAGGAAATCCCAATGAACATTCCATTAAGTTTCTTGGATTTAATGTAGAGTCAGTTCTCATCACTGAATTTACAGAATAGAGTCATTTTTCCAGAAAATAAAACAAATGAAACAAAACTGGGCTGTGAGGCTTCTTGAAATTTCTAGCACTAGCAGTGTCTGGTTAAAAGTCTTTTTGCCTCTAATCTCCTTTTCCATAATCATTTCACCAGGAAAGGAGCTGAAGCCTGTCCTTTCACCCAGGGCATCATGGCCCTCGACATAAGGCCAACATCGACTCAAAGATACCAGCTTGATGGTTTAAAGAGTAGGTGATTCTAGAGTTTCCTTTGGCATTTTACATCAGCTGTAGTTACAAGTTTGTTTTTTTTTTAAAGCTTTTTAATGGGTATGGCAGCACACATCTGTATTCCTAGTTATTTCAAAGGCAAAGACAAGAGAATTTGTGGTTTGAGGCCTGATCAGGTAAACTAATGTGGCACACATTTTTCATGTCACATATGGAGGAGGCTGAGACTAGGAGAACTGTGGTGTGGACCCGTGTGGAAAAAGTTGGTGAGACCCCCATGTTAACTTAAGAAGCTAGGCATGCTGGTTCATACCTGCCACCTGATCTATGGTGGATAGGATAAGTAGGAGTATTAAGGTCCAGGCCTGCCCCAGTTTAAAGCAAAACCCTATCTCAAAAATAATGAGGTCATGTGCTTACTTCAGCAGCACATATCTAAAATTAGAACCATACAAAGAAGATTAGCATGGGCTCTGCACAAAGATGCCACGCAAATTCATGAAGCGTTCCATATATCTAAAGAAAAAGACTTTGAGGAAACAGCAAAAGGAACACAAAAACAGAGTGAAGAAAGTCAGAGGGACTGCACAGGCCAATGTTGGAGCTGGCAAAAAGCCAAAGGAATAAAGATCCTGCAGTGACTTGACCTGAGGTGATGATGAATTTTATATGAAGGGATTAATAAATGGTAAAAACCTTCAAAAAAATAATGAGGGCAAAAAGGTCTGGAGGTATGGCTCAAGAAGTAGAGCACATGCCTAGCAGGCAGGAAGCTCTGAGTTTAGACCTTAGAACAACCAAATTAAAAAAAAAAAGACTTGGAGGAATAGCTCAAGGAATAGTGTTTACTATGCACATGCAAGGTCTTGGGTCCAATCTTCAGTACTGGGGAAAATTCTTTTTAACCCTCTCTTGGGCTGGGTGGTAGAACACTTTCATAGTATGTGCCAGGATTTGGATCTAACACCCAGCATAAAACAAAAAAGAAAAAGAAATTAACTTTTTTTTATATGTGTATTTGTGTGTGTGTGTGTGTGTGTGTGTGTGTGTGTGTGTGTGTGTCTGTTGGTCCCGGGGCTTGAACTCAGGGCCTGGGTCCTGTCCCTGAGCTTTTCTTTTCCTCATCCTCCTCTTTTCTCCTCCTCCTTCTTCTTCCTCTTCTTCCTCCTCTTCTTTTTCTCCTTCTTCTTCTTCCTCCTCCTCCTCCTCTTTTTTTTTTTCTCTCTCAACAGTAATGCTCTACCACTTGAGCCACAGCTCTACTTCTGACTTTTTGGGAGTTCACTGGATGTAAGAGTCTCACGGACTTCCTTCCCAGGCTGGCTTCAAACTGAGATCCTCAAATCTCAGCATCCTGAATAGCTAGGCTTTGCAGGTATAAGTCACCAGCACCTAACAGAAATTAACCCTTTTATAACTCTTATTCTTTTGCTCTACTCTTATTGACAGGTGATAATAATTAGCATAGCCTTTGTACCTCCCTTTTATTCTTCTTCATTGAGCAAATAGTTAATTTCAATATTTCCTTTGAAGACTAGTACTATAAGACAATCTTCATTATTCTTTGAATTGGGTCTAATTTACTTTCAGATAATTGATACTCATGCCTACTTATAATGTGACAATGTGATTGCAATTGTTTATGGACTCCAGCTTACTTCCCAGGTTCTTTGTTGTAGATGTTTGAGTTAGACTCTTCCTTTTTATATAAATTAGTTTCTACTTTTCTTTGACATGACAGCTTCTTTTTTTCCCATCTTGCCCCAAATTAAAATTTTCAAAGAATTTTCTATTACCTTTCATTTTAACTGACATCTTACTTGCTACAGTCTTCAAGAAGTCAATGAATATATTAATTGGAACTAAATGTGGCACCTGTCTCCAAGGAACTCAATTCAGTTGTTCTTGGTAGCCTTAGAAGGAATTGTTAATAATCTCAGGAGATTTATAAACTAACTTTGTATTCTTTTTTTTTTCTGGTCTTGAGACTTGAACTCAGGGCCTAGGAACTGTCCCTGGGCTTCTCTGTACTCAAGGCTAGAGCTCTACCATTTGAGCCACAGCACCACTTCCAGCTTTTTTTTTTTGAGTAGTTTATTGGAGATAAGAGTCTCACAGGAAAGTTTTTGCCCAGGCTGGCTTTGAACTATGATCCTCAGAGCTCAGCCTTCTGAGTAACTAGGATTACAGGTGTGAGCCACCATCGTCAGGTCAGTTTGGTATTTTTGTTGGTTGTGGGGCTTGAACTCTGGGCCTGGGCGCTGTCCCTCAGCTCTTCAGCTCAAGCCTAGCACTCTACCATTTGAGCCACAATGCCACTTCCAGCTTTTTCTGTTTATGTGGTGCTGAGGAATTGAATCCAGGGCCTCATGCATGCAAGGCAAGCACTCTACCACTGAGCCACCTTCCCAGCCCCCATCTCTGTATTCTTAAAATGTTGTTTTAAATCAATTTTTGTTTTATATTCTCAGATAAAGGAAGGAGGGTAGAATAAAATAATGATCAGAACTAGGTATTAAAGCATTGAAAAATCAACATGTTAATAATTATATAGAGTTAAATGGCTAGGTTTGGTAATATAAGCATTAAAGTATAAGGCATTTCTTCTGAGTCATACATGGCAAAAAGCTGGAGGAAAGTGGTGCTAGAGAAGACAGATTCTGGATATGCAAGAAATTTGGCCATTTTCTATTCCTAAAGTTAAAAACAATTTTTTTTCAGTTTCCAAAAAGTCAAGCACAGCTGGGCACTGCCTGTATTCCTAGCTATTCAAGAGGCTGAGATGCAAGGATCATGTATCAAAGCCAGCTTGTGAGACTCTTATCTCCAATAAACCACTAGAAAACAGGAAGTGGCACTGTAGCTCAAGTGGTAGGTAGAGTGCTCATCTTGAGCTGAGATGCTGAGGGACAGTGCCCAGGCCCAAAGTTCAAGCTCCATGACCAACCCCCACCCCCACCTCCAAAAAAAAAATCAAGCACAGAAACCACATCTCAGACTAAAAGTAAACAATGAATCAAGTGAAGAACAGAAACAATTTAGTTTTGTTGTTGTTGTTGGTGGTGGTGGTGGTCATGGGGCTTGAACTCTGGGCCGGGCACTGTCTCTTAGCTCTTCAGCTCAAGCCTAACACTCTACCACTTGAGCCACAGCACCACTTTTGGTTTTCTGGTGGTTAATTGGAGATCGGAGTCTCATGGACTTTACTGCCCAGGCTGACTTTGAACCGTGATCCTCAGATCTCAGCCTCCTGAGTAGCTAGGATTATAGGCGTGAGCCACTGGTGCACAGCTGAAACAGTTCAGTTTTAAGGGAAATGTGGGACAGACTACTTTCTGCCATAATAGTTCTGTGTGACTTTTACTTCTTTGAATTACAGTTCTTATACATGTAACATGAGCATAGTTCCACTACACTGACAGTGGGAGAATGAAAACCAGAAGGTATATAATATTTGTGAAATGCACAGTAGGCACTTGATATAATGCTCTAGATGTTTCCTTCTTTCCTGATCCCTCTGGAAATTAAGTTTGATGGATCAATGCATTTTCTTTAATCTCAAAGAAACTGTGCTGAGAACAGGATAGAAACAATGAACTAAATGGAATAATAAATCTCCTTGATCTTAAATGTTAAAGTAGATAAGGAATGAAATAAAAATAGTAAGAAAGAAGGAATGATGGAATTATAAAACCCATATGAAAGTTGTTAAGATATCATTAATCATTTCTATTTTCCTCTTGGCCTTGATATTTCATACTCAGTGAAGGGAGAAATCACCCAAACTTTCAAAAGTGAAATTAAAAGTGTTCCATAAAAACAAAAATTGCTGCCATTTTCCAGATGTTCTCTCAGAAAGCGATTTTAAAATAAATCAGAGTAAGGCTTTTCAGGCTCTTAGCTGAGATGACCTGTTTGCATGCCCACTAGATGTCTAATGTCATGGCAGAGGGGCATGCATATAGAACAAAGTGAAAAAACTTATTCACATTTTGCTTTACTGTGATAGGGCTGCCATGAAAAATGACCCAGGTGGGTGGCTTAAATTACAGATATGTATTTTCTCAGAATTCTGGAGGCTGAATGTCCAAGAACCAGGTGCTACATGGTCAGTTTCCTGCAGGTGGCTGCCCTTGGAGTGCTTCTACATGGGACTGCCTTCCTGTGCATAGACTCCTGTCTTCTTAAAGAGAAATAAGACTGGATTAGGGTCCACTCTAATGGCCTCCTTTGAAATATCACCAGGTTCAAGGCTCTTTTTCCAAATAGAGTACATCACATTCTGAGACATTTTGGAGGGGTATCATTCAGACCATAACAAAACATCATCTCATTTAGCTATATTTTACAAAGCCCTGAGAGATTAACCAATGCATCAAAAGGTCACTTAAATAGTAAGTAAAAATTTAACAAAGGCTTATAAGCAACAAAGACAATGCTTTCTGCTATCCACACTTACTCAAAGGAATGTAAATCTGTTGGGAAGACTCAGGATTGATGGATGAGACTGTAAATTGGGAAACTATGGATACAGTCATAGTATGGAGCCACACTAGTGGATTTAGGAGAATAATGACTATTAATAATAACTATTTATAGACACTAAATGATAGGCTGTATTCTTTCACATAAGTCTGCTGGTCTTCTCACGTAAGGAACTGCTAAATGGAAGACAGGACCAGTTTTGACCCCAAATGTACTGCTATATGTAGATGCAGAGACTCATGCATGAATTCCCTTATCTTCTGTATCATTGCTAATCCCACTGGCAATCCGAACAAAACATTAGTGAACTTTCAGTTCTATCACAACTCAGGGGAGTACAGAGTCCTACGCTCTCTCTCTCTATTTCACTGCTGCAGGGATAAGTCTTAGGATAGATTGTCGGGGAGATTGGCGTCTGTCTACCTTCTTGTGTTGACCTTGCATTATTTTTCAGTTTATTACAAGTTCCAAGTACCATTCAACTTTGTGGTTTACTCTCTAACCGTGTGTGTGTGTGTGTGTGTGTGTGTGTGTGTGTGTGTGCGCGCGCGCGTGCGTGCATGCATGTGTGTGTGTGTGTGTGTGTACTCTGAGCCTAATTTTTTTTTTCTTTAACTCAGGGGTTGGGCACTGTCCCTGAAATACTTTGCTCAAGGTTAATGTTCTATCACTTGAGCCAAAGCTCCATTTCTAGCTTTTTACTAGTTTTTTGGAAATGAGTCTAAAGGACTTTCATGCCTGGGCTGGCTCTGAACCGTGATTCTCAGATCTCAGCCTCCTGAGTAGCTAGGATTACAGGTATGGGCCACCAATACCAGCCTCTAACAATATTTTATGTAATATATTATCTGCTAAATTGTAATTAAAAATAATAAGTAATTCATATTCATAGATTTTGTTTCTAAAAACCAGTCTGAGTATGCTTACTAAGAATCTAGTATATGAGGGCTGGGAAGGTGGCTCAGTGGTAGAGCGCTTGTCTTGCATGCCTGAGGCCCTGGGTTCGATTCCTCAGCACCACATAAGCAAAAAGAAAAAAGCCGGAAGTGGCACTGTGGCTCAAGTGGTAGAGCGCTAGCCTTGAGCTGGCCCAGAGTTCAGGCCCCACGACCGGACCCCCCCCCCCAAAAAAAAAAAAAAGAATCTAGTATATGATTTGAAGTTTAAAACAAGCTGACACACAAAAGTGATTATATGATGTTACTACTTTCTTCTGTACTCTGAGGAATATAATCAAATATTCCTATTAGAATAGAAGCTTATCAAAGGTATAAGTTGTAACATCTCTAATATATTTTGTATATAAAAATAACCAATTCAATATAAAACAGTAAACAAAATAAAATTTGCTGCCTAAGAAGTATCTGCTTTGACACCACAGTGGAAAACTCCAAACCTGACCTCATCTGATGGGTCACAGTGAGCTGGTGTCTCACACTTGTTAATTCTAGCTACTTAGGAGGTTGAGATCTGAGGATCATGGTTCAAAGCCAGCCTGGGCAGGAAAAAGTCCATGAGACTCTTATCTCCAATCAATCAACAGAAAACTGGAAGTAGAGCTGTGGCTCAAAGCGGTAGAGTGCTAGCCTTGAGGAAAAGAGAGGGAGAGGGCACAGGCCCTGAGTTCAAGCCTCTTGACTGACCAGAAAAAAAATTAGGCTCAGGGTATGTATAGTGTATATAAAAATTAATTTTGTGCTTAGACTGGGTCTCTCCCAGTCTAAGTTATCTCTAAAGGATCTCATTATATACCTGAAAATATTCCAAAATAAAAATTCAAAGCCCCAAACCACTTTTGGCTCCAAACATTTTGAGTAGGGAAATTCAACCTCCATACATTTCCAAATAAAGTTCTAGAAGACTAATGCTTAAATGTTCTAAAATGCATTATTTTTCTCCAATTTGTGAAATTCTATTTTGAATTATATCATCTGCAAGTTTGATGAGGTAAGGTTATTGGTAAAGCCCACAGTACTAAAGACAAAAATTTCTATTTATAATCAAATGAAAGTAAAATGTCAACTGAGGTATGATTGATTTCATTTTCTTTTTGGTCCGGGTGTTGTCCCTCAGCTCTTCAGCTCAAGGCTAGCACTCTACCACTTGAGACACAGCGCCACTTCTGGCTTTTTTCTTTTTGCTTATGTGGTGCTGAGGAATCGAACCCAGGGCCTCAGGCATGCAAGGCAAGCGCTCTACCACTGAGCCACCTTCCCAGCCCCTAATTTCATTTTCTTTCTTTTTTTTTTTTGGGTCCGGTCATGGGGCCTGAACTCTGGGCCTGGGCGCTGTCCCTCAGCTCTTCAGCTCAAGGCTAGCGCTCTACCGCTTGAGCCACAGCGCCACTTCCGGCTTTTTTCTTTTTGCTTATGTGGTGCTGAGGAATCGAACCCAGGGCCTCGAGCATGCAAGGCAAGAACTCTACCACTGAGCCACCTTCCCAGCCCTTAATTTCATTTTCTGATTAAATGAGAGCTGAGTAGATAGCTATTTTGCTTCAATTATTGTTGAAGTCTTCTCAGTGAATTACTAGACTTCACACAGTGGAGAAAAATCACTGACATGGAAGCACTTAGCCACCTTTCCTCAGGCTTGCTTAGTGCTGCGCAACTGGAAGTATTTCTCCAGCAGAGCTAAGGCAATTAGAGTAGGGGAGCTGCAGGGCTCTTCCATGTAGTAACGTTTATGGTCCTACAGCTTTTGCCACTTATTATAGGAAGCTTTGTTGAATCATAGAAATCCAATACTTTTATGTAAATTCTATGAATATTATATAATTTTCAAAAACAAGTATAAAGGCACATTTCCAAGTTCATTCCGAGTTTCAGTATTATTCATCCTTCTAGCTTTTCCCAGCTTATGAACATCAAGGAGCATTTTTTTTTTTTTGGCCATGGGGCTTGAACTCGGGACCTGGGTGCTGTCCATGAGTTCTTTTGCTCAAGGCTAGCACTCTACCACTTTGAGCCATAGCTCCACTTTTGGTTTTTGAGTAGTTTATTGTACATAAGACTCTCATGAACTTTCCTGCCTGGGCTGGCTTTGAACCACTAACCTCATAGCTCAGCTGCCTGAGTAGCTAGGATTACAGGTTAAGCTACCAGTGCCTGGCTTTTGTGAAGTCTGAACAAAATATGGCAATTTTAGGTTTGGATTCCATTTTGTCCGGGAACTGTGTCAGTAACTCCCTCCCCTTGAGCCCAAATTCCAGGAACTACACCCTTTATGGAAAATTCCACTAACCACAGCTAATCAGCAGATAACAGGAAAAAGACCATCTGTTCTAGCCAATCATTTCAAAGAGCATCAACCCCATGAACCAGCCAATCCCAGTACCTGGTCGGGTCCAGCCACTGGTTATACTAATCATCTTTTAGAATTATTTTATGATTTTCCTGCAGTGTGATATGATTTGTTAAGCGTTGCAGTGACACATAGAAGTCTCTAAAAACCCTATAAGAGGAAGGATGGGGCGTTCAACTCTGACCCGCTATGTGAGTGATGGTTGTGAGTCTAGGCTCGAGCTTGTAATAAATGACTCTCATGTGCTTACATTGGAATTGGTTCCTTGGTGGTCTTTGGGGATCCTTATCTGGGCATAAGACTTTCAAGTAGCATTCTTATGGATAACTGGAACTCAGCTGCAATTTTTTAAACTGTCTCAGTTGAATTGAATGGGTGGGAAAACTGGAAATTTTATATAGACTCTTAGGGGGTAATGGGACAGTAAAGAAGTAACATAGACAATAAAAATGAAGCAGTGACTCCAGTATTTTCACATGTATTTAGGTAGAGTATTGAATGTTTAGAAATTCCCAACAAAATTAAGGTAGAACAAATGTTAGGAAAAGAAAGAGGTTCAGAAATATAGTGTAGTGGAATTTTCAAAATACTTAAAAAACTAGTAAATATTTTTGTTTCCAGATGAAAGTTAATATAGAATGCATATGATGTTTTGAACAGAATCAATAGCCAAACAATCTAAAACATACTTAATTTCACAAATAGACATTTCAAAAACATCAGTGTTTGGGGGTGGTATCTACAGATTGAATTGAATGATTACCTAAAATTTGAATGGAAAATTAAACTTGTAAATCTCCAAACAGCAAGACATCTTTGTAACTCTGAGCACATCCTTTTTCATTGACATTTTGTGTTTCCAGCTGTTACTACTTTTGCAAACTATACACAGAGATGTTTATTATTCCCTCTCATTTCTAGCTTCTGGTGCTCATTGCAAAGAGATATAAAACTGGGCATGTATGTTTCAGAGCAAAAACTACTCTGACCCCTATATTTTCTCCTCTAGAGGGTATCCATAGACAACAAAGATTTAGATTTAAAATCTTGACACTTTGGATTTTTAGTTTTAGAGTCACTCCTTGACAGTTTTCACAGAATATATAATTTTCTTGCCTGCTGTTGGTACAGATTACCAACTGAACAAGTTCAAATCAATCAGTTACCACAGCTGGATCTAAATGGAAAAAATGTCTCATGTAGGCACTCCTAACCCAGTGGCTCTGTGTGTATATTTGATGGACCTCCTGAAGACCAACAAGTACCTACCTCTAGCTTCAGAACGTCATGCTGAAGTTTACGCTGAAATTCAAGGAAGTTTTTGATGGTCAATTTCCCCTTGAGATCGGCTCCAAAAAAGTAGGTTGTGAGGGCTGAACACAAGCCAGACTTCAGGGTATTACCAGTAGTAGGGCGATCTCGGTGGCGCATACCCATACTGGTCTGGGAACGAATGATGCTCTGAACCTAAAACAGAATCAAATCCCCAACCAGGAAAACATTAGAGGAAAAATAAAAGCATGGAAAATAATAATAACCATTGTAGACTATGTGTGAACATCATTATCTCTTTTTAACACATGCAACAATCTTACCTAATTGGTCTTATTAAAGTCCTTACTTTATAGTGGAGAAGATGGGGGCATACAGAGTTGGATAACCTGCTTAGGGTAAAGTGGCTAGAGAAACAGCAGAACTAGGATTCTATCACAGATAACCTACCATTATAATTAGGATCCTTTAGGAAATCTCTTCAGAAAAGAGTAAGCAATTGTTTTGGGGAGGCATACAATCTCTCTCACACAACTAGGCCAATGATTAGGCTCACAATAATATCTTCTATATCTTAGTAAACTTTAAAAAATTCTATTCTTCTCACTATTGACTCTTCGGGTGTTGATGTACACCTGTCACTCCAGCTACACAAGAGGAAATAAACAGAATAAGTACAGGGGCTGGGAAGGTGGCTCAGTGGTAGAGCGCTTGCCTTGCATGCATGAGGCCCTGGGTGCGATTCCTCAGCACCACATAAGCAAAAAGAAAAAAAAAGCCGGAAGTGGCGCTGTGGCTCAAGTGGTAGAGCCTTGAGCTGAAGAGCTGAGGGACAGCGCCCAGGCCCAGAGTTCAGGGCCCACGACCGGACCACCCCCCCCCCCCAAAAAAAAAAAAAAGAAGAAGTGCAGTCTAGGCTGTCGTTGGTACAAACTCAAAACCCTGTCAGGAAACACAACTAAAGCAAAAAGGGAAGGGTGTGTATCTTAAGTTTCAGAACCTAACATGAAGTCCTGAGTTCAAACCTTAGTGCTTCCAAAGGAAAAAAAAAGTAAGAATTATTTTGTTTTTATTTTGGCAGTACTAAGTATCAAACTCAGGGCCCAAGGCCTTGCGCAGGCTAGGCAAGCACTCTATTATTGAGCTATATCCTCAGCCTCTGCATATTAAGAATGCGGTGTCAGGGAATGGCTGATTGCCTAGCTCATCTAGCTAGCAGAGTGCCATTGGAAGTCAGATGTGCCACTTCAGACCTGGCCCATAAAAACTATCCAAGTATAATTCTCCACGCTGTTTATACCTTGAAAGCCCATATGATGCTTACAGGGTCCTAATACATAAAGAGCCTGTGTTCCCTAAATCAATGCTTGGAGAACTGTATATCAATTACCCATTTTAAGGTTTATGTAAGTAGTAAAAACAAATTACCAATCAAATTACTATGTTATATATTTTACAATAGTTTAAACTATTAATCTGCAAAAGAATTTCATCTCATCAGTGATCCACTTCTTCGAACTCAAAGTCCTTACAGCTTCCTAACTAAATGTGTATTCTTTCAACACACAGTGTAATGAAGTAGAAAGAACAGAAGCTTTCAAGTTCTTCTCCAGTCTATAATTTAGTAGCTATGTCCACCTAAGCTATGTATTCAAGCCCTCTGATTCTTAGTTTCTTCATGTAGATGGTAACCAATAGTTCTTGTATTCACAGCATTTTTATGAGGATGAAAGATAATGCATACTAGTGTTCCTAGAGTAAAAAGTTTTCTACACACAGGACATTTAATAAACAATAGTCATTATTACCATTTTGATTAGATAATCAGAATATCATATATAAATCTATCACTGCTTTTGGATTTAAAAGAAGCAAAGATGAGATTACTTTCTTAAAACTTCTATTAAATCTAAGGCCCATGAAAATGTGTTTTAAATACTGAAAGAATCTTCCACAACTTACCTGTTCAAACTCCTCCATGTCTACTTCTCCATCTCCATTCAAGTCAAACATCTTGAAGGCAATTTCAAAATTTCTTTGAGGAGCTGCAAGGAAAAAAAGGAGAAACAGAGATTGGGGGTGGGGAGGGGAGAAAAATACTTAGAAGATAATTAGCCAAAAATAAATCACTTAAGAAAAATGAATAATTTGACACTAAAATATATTATCTAAGTCAGAAAATGAGCCACCAGCACCCAGAAAAACTCTAAGTTTTTGTCTTGCATTTAAATCAAGTTAGCTTTGTTTTCTTTAGTCTCTTTATTGTAAGTACAGTTATGAGTTCTAAGCAAGTTGTTCTTCCAGGAGTTCAAGCTGTTCTCTTATGCTGATTTTCTTTTTACCACTACTGCTCTGTAGTAGGACAGAAAAGCATTCTGTCAGTTATCAGCCTCATTTCAATCATGTCAGATCCATACACAAACTATTGAGCAAGGTATAACTTAAATATTAAATTAACCCTAAGCTTAAAAAACAAAATAAAAATAAGCAAAGTTTGACAAGAAGGTGAATGATGGAAGCTTCTTAGTACTTCTTTAAGAGTTCCAGGATTAATCAAAATACAATTAATACACAGTGTTCATAAACTTAAAACATGAACTTAATAGATTTCCTGCTTGACTATGCCAAGTACTCTGTTAAAGAAAATATGTTTTGGTGCTTCAAAACTATAGAACTTTAGAGAATAAATCAAAACAAGTGTTCTACATATCCTAATACCATTTTAGCTCAAAATTTGCACAGCTAATATATAGCAGAACCTGAAGCTGAACTTGGATCAACACTGACTCCAAAGCCTACAAATGTCACATTATGCTTCACTGCTTTGATATGAATTCAGAAGTACTTATGATAGATACAGAATTCTTATGCTGATACATTTTGATCTAAAAAATAAAACAACAAAATCAAAACATGACTTAGTACTTGCATCAGAGTTCCAAGCTGCTTATCTTTTAAAAGAAATTATTATTACTTAAAATTTTACTTTAGTGTAAAGGTGATGATATACAGAGGGGTTACAGTTACATAAGTTAATGAGTACATTTCTTTTCAAACAGTGTTACCCCCTCCTTTGTTTTCACCTGATGTCTCTCCCCCACCAAGTTGTAAAGTTCATTTCCAACAGTGTCTTGTGAGTATCACTGTTGCATTGGTTCACCCACTGTTTCTGTAATTTCCCTTCCCTTCCCCAAATCAGATAAACTTACATACATGACAAAAGGTATCAAAATAAAAAGCAGTGACAACAGGGAATAAACCAAAGGAATACAATGAAGTAAAGAAAGAAATAACTGAAAACAGTACACTACAAAATGAGCCTCTTCTTTCCATATCTTGGAGTTCATTTTGATTAGCATCATTTTATATGGTCTTATGTACATAGCTATTGAACTATTGTGATCCTCTGCTAGGAGTATCTTAGACATATTGTAATTATTAATGAGGGAAACAATGGAGCCTATTTTTGGGGGGCCTGGCTTACTTCACTTAATACATTTTTTCCCAAGTCTTTCCATTTCCTTACGAATGGGGTGATGTCATTCTTTCTGATAGAAGCAAAGAATTCCATTGTGTATATATGTACCACATTTTCTTGATCCATTCATCTACTGAGGGGCATCTGTGTTGGTTCCATATCTTAGCTATGGTAAATAATGCTGTACTGCACATAGTTGTGCTGGTAGCTTTAGTGTGGCCTTGTTTGTGATCATTTGGGTAAATGCCCAAGAGTGAGATTGCTGGGTCATAGGGGAACTCTATGTTTAGTTTTTTTTTTTTTTTTTTGAGGAAACTCCATACTGCTTTCCAGAGTGGTTGAACAAGTTTATATTCCCACCAACAGTGTAGTAGCCTTCCCTTTTGGTCATATTCCTGACAGCATCTGTTATTATTTGTTTTCTTGATAATGGCTATTCTAACTAGGGTGAGGTAGAATCTCAATGTGGTTTTGATTTCCATTTTTTAATAGCAGAGATATTGAACATTTCTTCATGTCTTATTGATCATTCTTATTTCCTTTACAGAGAAGTCTCTCTTTAAGTCTTTGGCCCACTTATTAATGGGATGGTTGTTTCTTTGAGGATTTGTTTTTTTGGGGTTTAATTTTTTGAGCTCTAAGTATATTTTAGATATGAGGCCCTTGTCTGTTGTACAGCTAGTTTAGATCTCTCCCAATCTGTGGGCTTTCTATTGATCTTGCTAGCTATGTTCTTTGTCATGCAGAAGCTCTACAGTTTAATGCAATACCATTTATCCAGTCTTTCTTTGATTTGATATGTTTCTGGATCTTTATTTAGGAAGTCTGACCTGTGCCAAGGAGCCCTAGTCCTGTAATATTTTCAGGGTATCTGATCTTTACATTAAGGTCTTTGAGCCATTTGGAATTGATTCTGGTGCAGGATGATATATAAAGATCTAACTGCAGTTTTCTATCCATGTATAGCCACTTCTGCCAGCATCATTTGTTGAAGAGGATTTCTTCCATCTAGTGTTTTTGGCTACATCACCAAAGATTAGGTGGCCATAGGTCTGAGAGTTCATTTCTGGGTTTTCTATTCTATTCCTCAGGCCTATTCATGTGCCACTACCACCAAGCTGCTCATCTTGAGATACTCAGTATCAAACAATCACTGATGTTAGTGTGTTAGACTTGGTTATACTAACTGGAGACCTATAATGACAATGAACTCTCAGATACTTGTCCCACCTCTTTCAAAGTTCTGAATATGGATCTCTTTGGATATGAGTGCACTTTCCAATCCTTCCGTATTGTTTCACACTTGGCAACTTTGCTCTTACATGTCATTTGCCTAATCTCTGTTGATATATGAGGTTGTGGCAATGGCAGAACATATAAAGACAGTAAAGTTCTTAAGTAGGACACTCACACAATCAAACACTTATAAAGCACATGTCCAGATATGGTGTGAAGGATGAACTGGAAAAGAAGAACCAGCTTCAGAGAAGATCACAGAAGCTCTTATAAATGAGGAAACTGTGAACTGAAGTGATGACAGTGGTAATGGAGAGGACAAATTTGAAATACCTTAAGGCAGAAATTATATAACTTAATGATTAGTTAGGTGTGATGTGTTGAGAGTGAAAAGGGGTGACAGCATGACTGGCTTTGACTACTAGGTAGCCTGGATGTCATTTACCAAGAAATAAAATAGATGTAAAAGATTTGGTATAATTAAAATAGTTCAGGTGGGATTTGAAGGGTCCACTTACTAGGTAGAAACACAGAGCAGAGGGTAGAAGGTTAAGGCTGGAAGCTGCTAGCATGATTAGCTGGGAAGAGCCTGAAATGAAGCTGCTCAAAGAGAGCTAAAGGGTGAGAAAAGGTGAGTGCATGTGAGGTGAGTGAGGAGGCCGATATTTAAGATGCAGGGAAAAGTAAATGAAACAGTGACAGAGGAGGTGGCTTTCCAGTATCAAGAGGTATGCAGTCCAAATGAACAGAAACTGGGAAAAGTTAGTGAGAGTCAAGCCACTGATTAAAGAAGCATTCTCATTCTCTATTTCCATTGATTACCAAGTTTAGAAATTTTAGCTTTCTCACAATCTTGTATTCTTACTGCCCTTATAGCACATGATGGCATAAGCAGAGATAATTTATTTGACTGAAATTTTCTATCAAATCATGAGTTAATTTTACTAACAAAACACTGTCCAACATTTTCTTTCTATCCTTGTTTAGTTTCATGTACACTGAGCACAGAGCTATATGTGGAGCTACTCTGAGCATTTATTAAAGTATATGTGAAGACACTCCAGAGGCTGTGCTCTCTTGCTCTGGTCACTGTTGAGGCAAGCTGGACCAGCAGCCTTGCACATTCTCCTCTGGGCATTGGAAGGTCCTTCCAAAAGGAATTCCCTTTGCTTGTTCAATTTGCTGATCCCTGGTGAAGCTCCCATTAGCTTGTCTTCAGTGAAATATGCACTGTAGAAAGCGCTCAGGCAAATCTCTTTGAAACTTCCCTGCTTCCCTTTAAATGTAGACTCCAGACTATTTTCGTTTAATCTAGTTGTTATAGAAAGCTTAAAGTGTTCTAGGGCTATGCTAACTCATGACCTGTTTCCATAGAAAGGTTCAGAGAGAAGAATTCTTTTGAGTCCTAGGCTGCTTATAAAGCAAACAGTGAGGGGGAAACCCTGATAAAAATAGTATAATCTGCTTTCTACGTGATTTCCAAAATGGTCTTACCATATGTTGGAACTGATTAAAATTTCCACGACAATCTTTGCTTTTAGGATGTGTAGCTACATTAGGTCTATTCTGGCTAACAGTCCATTTTTATAACATTCTTCTGACACTAACAATAATGATAGCAACAGTAACAACAACTTTAGATCTTTGAAGCACAAACATTTCTACTTTGCTTTGATAATAACTTTCATAGCTCTTTCACCTACTGTTCTTTAATAGAAAATGTGCAAGACAAGGGCTTGAATTCTGTCTTTTAAAAAATAGTGAATAATTTGCCACCTTAAATTCATTTTTGGTAATACTGATGGATTGGTGAAAAGTGAATAGATTATATTCTTTTTTATTTTTATTTTTAATTTTTATTATGAAGTTGATTACAAAGGGGTTATAGTTACATAAGTCAGGTACTGAGTATATTTCTTTTTAGAAAATGCTACCCCTTAATAAATTATATTTTAAACAAGTTTCTTATTTACTGTTAGCTTGGTTCTCCAAATAAAAAATTCCTAGAGGTAGGGCTGGAAGGGGTGGGGGAGAATTATGAAAGGGGTGACATCAATCAAGATGCATTGTATTCATAAACTGATTTTTTGAATGGTAACTCCTTTGTACAACTACTTAAATATAAAAATATAATTTAAAAAGCATTCCTATTTCATTACTGCCTCAAAATGAGGCTGTAGAATATGAGATAATTAATATGTGGTAGCAGAGAATTCTAAGTTAGAAAAAACTCTAGAATATATTCTACTCAAGGATCAACCTTTCTATTGAATTTGTAGGATTATGGAGCTCCAACCTGATCATCAGAGATGGAAGTTACTACTTCTAAGG